ACTGTCTATACACACATTGCCTTACAATCTTCCGTCACGTTGTCACCCTCCTTTATATACCAGTCTACCCTCCATCTAGTAATTACTAGAGCATTCGCCAAGATACGGGATAGTTCTAGAAACGTGGCGTCACTGTAGTCATGTGACTCGCTGACGCAACAGTATAAATACAGCGTTGTATCTTGTAAAAACGCAGTGCGAGATTTAATTTGGGGGAAGAGGGCAAATTCTTACAGAAATATCATTAATTTCTTGACGACCTAATATGTTCCAGCCGGGGAAATTCAGAAAAAAAACACTATATTTTTAAATTAAAAGGAATAGAAAACATATAGCCTGGTACTACACTACAATATATGGGTAAATATTTTTTAATTATTGAAAATCAATTTATAAATATTATTTTGAAAGGTGTATTCGCAAATACACTCGAGATGTGTTTAAGCCTAATTGTCACCTATGTTTTTAGATTTAAAGACTGAATTTCTGGTTTACTATCTCCATTTGTAATTTATAAATTTACTTGTCATTGTCCTAAAAGAAAGTTATTAACGTAAGTGAATGGACATGCAAACCTAAGATTCTATATTAAATCACGTATATTTGAAAATGCCTTAAGATGATGTGACGTTATTGTTCATTCTAATTGGTCTAAGATCTTAGCAATAGGGCCAATGATGAACAGAGCTTTCGCATAATAGAGAGCTTGATTATTCCCATGCATAGGCGTAAAATTAATGTTTAGGAACTGAATATTTTCTGAGATTACTAATTGAAACGACATTACAGTTTTAGTGTATTTATTACGGCATACGTACATTCACATGTAATTCTAAGTCACAGTTGAAAAACACGTAGTTGTGATTGCTCAGAAATATAAATCCAGAATTATCATTAAAGTATTTCATATTAAATTATCATTTCTCTGTTTCCATCTGTGTTTTTAGCCATTAGGAACAATATGATTCAGGAGAGTTTCTTGATGCTCCCCCCCCCCCTCCTTCGTTTGATCTCCTGTTTAGGGATTGTCTGAACATGTTGTACAGTTATAGAACCCTTATCAGAAATTGTCAGTCAAGAAGCAATTTCAAAACTTCACCATAGTAAGAACAGTGAAAACACACAAGGCAGTTCACTTTCATAAAATTATAAAAATAGGCCTAATAATGTAAGAGACCATCACAAATAAAAGGTAGCGTCTTTTATTAATATCGCGATATATAATCATTTAAACCAGACATAATAATACACTTTTGTTCTATTTAACTAAGGGAGCATTAAGAGGTTTATCTAGCTTTTTGGATTCTGTTTAGAAGTTTTGGACTAAATTAGCTTTATTTTGTTGATTAGAAGTTAGTTGTCGAAGAAAGTACTCAGTTGTTGACAGCTTGGACTTTACCAAACTTTAACGTTTTGATTAAGCCAGCTGAAATATTGGACGTTCCTCAAGAACTTGACTGATTAACAGTTGTGTTCCATAAACACAAAATATCGTTTATTTTATTCTTTTATGAATTTCATGAAGCTCACGACTTTGTTTTTTTTTTTACTCTAAGGAGAGGAGGGGGCCAGTTGTTACACCAAATTCGTATTTTAAATATTTGTAAAATACTAGCACCAAATGAGGTTGATGAAATCTTTTAGATAAAAACATCGTATGCAAATTCTGAGGTAGAAGCAAAATTTTAAACAAATTGATGCATAAAAAAATATGTGGATCGATACCCCATCGTTTGTGAGACACCTGCTAAAAATGTGGATCGATATCCCACCGTTTGTGAGACACCTGCTAAAAATTGTGGATCGATATCCCACTGTGAGACACCTGCTAAAAAAATGTGGATCGATATCCCACCGTTTGTGAGACACCTGCTAAAAAAAATGTGGATCGATATCCCACTGTGAGACACCTGCTAAAAATGTGGATCGATATCCCACCGTTTGTGAGACATCTGTCACGAAATTATCCTGTTGTGTTTGCAACTCCACTTTCCCTAAAAATCAAAACCAATGAGTAAAAACAGCTGGAAAGTTAAAATTGGTTATCTTGAAAGTATACGATTATTTTGTTAACAGTTGTAAAAACTGTAGTCCCTAAACTATCGTTAGAAGGCTGTATATTAAAGTGGTTCTGAAATTTTGGCTTTTCGAGAAAGTTGTTAGCGTTACATACATTTCTTTACAAATTATTTTTCGATTGGTTATGCTAAGCTGTTTTGAGTCCATTAAATAAAAGAACATTTTCTTCTTCTTATAGGTATTGTCAACGATTCTGTTTCAGTGATAAATGTTCATCTTATATGTAATATTAAAGTATTTATTCACCTACGTCCAATCTTTGAGTTTACTTTCGCTGTAATTAATGGTAAAGATTTTCGTACGTAACACCAGGAGGCCTCGAACAGGTAGATGGTGTACACTGGAGAACATTCTCGACGGTTTTAGAACTACTAAACAATATAGCTCTACTCCGTTACACAAACACGCTAATATGAATATTTAATATCCACCTTTCTCTTCAAGGATAAACATTATATCAAACAAATACATAGTTTTGTAGTCAAAATAGGGAAAAGAAAAGAAGAATTAAAAGCACTGTAATAGTTTTCCTATTATACATAAATTCTGCATGCTGATTTAATATGGTTTGATTTACTCAGAAAAACTTGTCTGTAAACTTTCTTTCACCAGCTTTGCCTACCTCTGATTCTAGAGCTTGTTTGTTTGTTGTTTAGCACAAAGCTACACAATGGGCTATTTGTGCTGTACCCACCACGGGTATTGAAACCCAGTTTTTAGCGTTCTAAGCCTTCACTAGGGATCAGAAGATGAGTTAGTGTTAGCTGTCGCTATGATATCATCATTTCAAGCACGGGTTCTAACAACCTATCATTAACTTTGATGCATCACAGCGTTGTAACAAGATAAAAAGCCTTTTCTTAATGTAATGGTTTGTATTACTTTTAATTCATTTCTTAGTATTTGACAGTCCTTGTTCAAACTGATTGATTGCACTATTTTAAGGCCGCGTTAATTTTCTAAACACTTTCTTGATTAATTATTTTAGTTTTTCTGTTGCGTTTGTTTTGTTTTTAATTTCGCGCAAAACTACTCGAGAGCTATGTGTGCTAATCATCCCTAATTTAGCAGTGATAGACTAGAGGGAGGGCAGCTAGTCAACATCACCCACCGCTAACTCTTGGGCTACTCTTTTACCAACGAATAGTGGGATTTATCGTAACTTATAACGCCCCCACGGCGAACATGTCTGTTGGAACGGGGAATTCGAACCCGCATATTGCGAGTCAAGCTCCCTAACCATCTGGCCAGGCCAATAGACTAGAAGGCAAGAAACTAGTCAACACCACACATCGCTAACTTTTGAGCTTCTCTAATTGAATAGTAGGATTGAGTGTCAAATTATAATGCCTAACGGCTAGAAAAGCGAATTTGTTCGATGATGGGATTCGAACGCCCTAACTACTTGTTATTCAATTAATGGATTCTTTTCGAACTTACATGTACATTTGCGGGGTATGGATGTAATAGTGTGACCGGGAAAATGAGTTGATCGCGGCCCAATAGTTAGCATGCCAAGTTACAATTGCAAAGTCCAAGTTTCGAGCCACGATATGCCACTGAACACGATTCACACATTCAGCTATATCCGTGACAGTCAGTCCCGTTATTCGTTTAAGAGTATTCGTGCAAGTGGCGGATGTATCTAATTGTTTTCCTTTCCATTGGTTAGCGTTCTAACAGAAGACACATACACGCCCTAGCTATGTATTTAATATGTTCTAACAGAAGACACGTACACGCCCTAATTATGTATTTAATATGTTGTAACAGAAGACACATACATTCTTCATGTTGTTACTTGTTTAGTATTCGATACGTTTTACAAGCTCAAATACACTTGTAGTTCAGTATTGTTTGATGCTTCTAACTGTAAGGACTTCTTGTTGCTCACATCTGAAAAGCTTGGGGATTGGTGTTGTAATCGTACTGTAAAATACTTGATGTTACAGATGAATATTAAGTATCAGTTTGATGGTTCTAACTATATGGACTTCCTGGCGCTCACACTGCCATGCTGTTAGCCAAAGCGATAGTACGGACCAAGATTCACCTCGTGGCAGAAACATTCACTCGCTGCAGTGCGCACGCGCAAGGATTCTTGCATGGTTTTGTTAGGTCGATATAATGAGTGGTACTTGATGTAGCACCGATGGTAAAGAAATCACTTGCGGCTGTAGATCGGTGTGTCTGCGGGTAGTGCCAGCTACGGGAAGTTCGCTAGAGGTCGTTTCATATTCCGCTGTTTCCAAGGTACTGTACCTACGATCAAACTGTACATTTAGTAACCGAAAAAACTAATCTTTGAACGTTAATAGGCATTACGTGAGTTAAAAAACATAATAAGTAAAGGAACTGATTGCCAGGAAACAATGGCATGCGCCCCAACCTACACGTTGTTACTAAAACTTACATGGCTATAAGTTAACAAATGCTTAATGCATTTGTTGAGCTTTTCATAACATCGGAAGTATTGATTTTAGGCTTAGCTAGGAGTTACCGAGTATGTTAGTTGACATGTGATACGCATAGGGTCCACATTCGTGAAAGTCTGTTGATATTGTTGTTAAGAGCATAGTTTGTGATTGTTTACACTGTGACAGTTACAATAAAATGATGATGTAAACACGTAAGTTAAAAAACAAGCGAGTGAAACAATTAAGAATTGAAATTTCAGTTTTAATTCAAGACTTACATGTTTAATATACTAATTTCTTTGAAATGGGGAGATATGGTATAGTCTAGAAAAGTAACGTTTGTTTGTTTTTAAAGCAAAGCCACACTGGGCTATCGAGGAATCGAACCCCGGATTTGTGAATTCTTGCCTTTGAAAACACGTCCTAAACTTGTCAGTTTGCGCTCGAGTGTAAATGCAAATTTTAGAGGAAATGTATCTTGATTACATTTTTTACAGTATTATTTGGCCAAAAAGGGTGGGGTGAGGGTGGGCGTCGAGTTTTTTAGAAAGCTTTAAAGTGAAACTTATATTCGAAAATAACATTTGATATGACCAACATTCGACCTTATATATAGTCATATAGCCCACACACGTGAGTTTGCCTCTGAAACTCAGTAAAGGTTTTTCTTGTTTAAACGAGTTTATCGATAACACAAAACTATGACTCAACTAACATTTTAACTCAACTAACCTCTGCCTTCGAAGGAGGGTCCAATATTTTTCTCATTACTCCTTTATGCCCGCCTCTAATTGAAAAGTAAGAAAGAAAAAAAGTTGTACTTGCCAACGAGAGTACGTCACAAGCCTTTGATTCAGAGTTTCGGATTGGTCAGTTTAATCGTTCTAATCATATTGAACATTATTTGACAAAGCATGTTATATCAATTTTATTTGTGATATGAAGTTTCGGATTGGACAGCTTAATCATTCCGATCAATCATATTATTTTTATGTATTGATACTCGTACAATATTGATGGGGGTTTCAAGTTTTTTTACCTCACTATACAGTAACCTAAATTACTTTAGGTGTATGAATAGTATTTAGACATTGTGCTTATTTTATTATTCGATATTATACAGTGGATCAACTGTTTAGTAATTACTAGACCACCGTGACCCGTTGGGTCAACCACTATTCAGAGGTTATGAAGAATTCAAGCTAATTTCAATATTGCACCGAAATGAAAGTTTATTTTGAGATAAT